GCCGGACGCCTTTCCCCTCAAGCACAATCAGCAGTGGATTGACGCAGTGCCGTCTAGGTTGCGTCCGCTTCACCTCCAGCGCATCTTAGAGCGTCACATAATGAGCGCGACGCAGCAGGCGGCGGCGCGAAGATGGACGTGTCTGCCGCTTCTGTCGTCGAACTTCATTGTTTCGCCGTTTGGGGGCGGGTCGTGGATTCACTAATGATGACGTCTTTCTCAGGCCTTGCCTTCTAGGTAGTATCCGGAGTGCAAGTTCATCTTGCGCTGGGGTTGCGTGGACGTCAGAAAGACGCCGAGCTCCGATTGGCTCTGATTGGGCGGATAGGGGGAACACTTCGAAGCTAGCTGGCTCAAGGTCTGACGTCATTGTAACCTCTGCGCAAGAAGCAGACGAAATTGCGCTCCGCGTTGGCTGAGCAAGCTTGTCGTGGACAGGGGTACGGACCAGACACATTATCGGAATCAAAACCGGATGCGCAAATGTCGCGAAAATTCCAAGAATCGTACTCAGGGGTGGCGCATGAATGGCCACCTATGCTACAATAATAGCGAGTTATACGCAAGCGCCAAGATGCTTTCGCGTAACGCAAGTCACGTGAAAGCATAAATGCACTCTAATTCTTTTTGTTCGCGTCCACTTGGGTGTAGGTGGGAGACCCAAGAGAATCGATCTAGATCTTCGGGAATATCACTTGGGAGACAACATGGGTTGACTGTTGCGTCAATGCAATGAAGGGCCCGTGGAGCGAAAGCACGTTCATTGCGGAGTCTGTAGGATCGGGAGGCCAGTGGTAGCCTTGAAGGCAAGCTTGCCGGTCATCTCCCGCTGGAGACGCGTGTGTCCGGACTCCGGATGTTTCCTCCCATCATGATAAGTGTGAGCGCATTAGTGCGATCTGCAGCGGCATCGGTTCGATCGACTGCCTCGTTTCCCGGGATGCTGGCGTGGGAGGGCAGTTAGTGTAACGTTTTTGGCCATACTTTTGCTTCTGTCTCTTTTCATCTGTTCTATTTGGAATCCTTCTGACTTGATCTCTACCGAGGCTCTCTTTCTTATGGATAGCCAGAGTTCGGTTATTGTTAACGCCGTTAATGGTGATAAAACAAAACCTGGGGTAGTGTTTTATACATGCGAACAATAGATGACTCGAAGATTGTCAGTAATTGCATATTTATTACATCTAAAACTATGATGCTGAGTCAAGTACATAAAAAAAATAGTTCAGATGATTCTCCGAGGTGTCACTTCAGAGCTCCCGTTGCAGTACCTGAGAGGTTCGGGATGTTTTTCAAAACACGACTAGTCTTGACAAAGTCTCCTAAATGATATATATATATATATATATATATATATATATATATTGAGTTGTATATGCCACCTCTTTTGTTTTAGCCCGTGTTATTTATTCGCTAGCATGAATGTCAATCGACCTTCGAAGTCGAATGAGGCCCAGTTCTACAGGGGGGCCTTCAGCGTTGTTAGAGGACTCTGCTGGTTCCTCCGCGTTGCATGTTGACTCCGGTGAATTTATATGATCCATGTTGCTTGATTTCTAAAGGGTGGACACTGCTCTATTCTTCAGGTGCCAACTGAGACTGCCCCTTGTTGAAGGATGGGGATGGCGGCCGAAATGGCAGCAAATACTATCCAGGAAAAATATTGCATATTCCGTACCGTGAGAAGAGGAATGCTATTTCTGAACAAGTCATCTTATATCTACACTCTTCAAAACATGCTAAAGTTGAAAAAATTGCGAGTCATAAAATAATAAACAAACAAAAACGTGATTTTATTTATATTAGTTGTATGGCGTGTTTGAACCAGGGTATGGAACCGATCGATATTGTGGTTCCGTTCGGTTTTGGAATCAGTAGCTTTGTATTTTGTTTCGCTTTGGCTCCGGTTCAGCGATGAATTTGGAATACCGTTTTGGTTATTCGTTTAAACAAACGAAAAATGGTTTTAACTGGTTCATAACTCTACCTTTGACCACTGCCCCGCGTGAATTTTCTATCTAAAATAAAAAAGACAGCTTCCAGTGGTTAAGAAAACAAGAAAACAAGAAAACAACCGGGCGTCATATGCATTAAAAATGCTACAAAAAAGTGGTGAACAGACACCGTGCCGTGGAAACGAGGAGAGAAAAACAAATAGATGCCTAGTTTTGTTTACCGATCATGACGTTTTATCGTATACACCATTGTACGTAAATTGCGTGGTCACACAGGCGCTCAAAAACGGTACCAAGGGCCGCCTCAAATGACGCAGTTGAAGTCAAGAAAAAAAATATATGCAGACAAAACAAAGCGAGAAAATAGAAAATAAAAGAAAGTGGGCGCAAGCTGCAGCTAAAAACGAAATCAAACCAAAACAAAAAATATTTCACTCAGGCAGCGTCCAGAGCTCCAGGCGATTGTCGTCCCAGTGACGTGCACATCGGCTCTAGTTTTTGTCCCCGAGTAACAAACCAACAAACACACTGAAAGCTGTCGTATTTATTTCTTATTTTTATGGGTTTTCTTTTGTTTTTTTTTCTTGAAAATATATGGCAAAAAAAAAACAGACAAAAAATGGGAGCCATTCCACTCTGTGAAGGTAGATGACCAACGAAGCTGTTTAGCACATGACACAGAAGTGACACAGAACTTTGAACAAAGCTACGAACGCATGTACTGTCTTGATCGGTGTGTGATTGCCGTTGCTCTTCGTTGCCGTTCCTGCCGTTGCTCTTCGTAGGCACGTTGCTCTTCCGAAGTCCGGATTTTACGCGGCTTCCCCACTACGACGAGAGAAGTGAAATTAAAAATGGAGAACGGCAACTTGTCTTTCTGATTTTTTATATAAATTCGCGTGGACGACAATCGCCGCTCCGAGGAGCCGCGGGAAATAAGACACTCGAAACGGGACCGCGACCCGGAGGAAAATAGACACGCGCGACGGGACCGCCAACCCGGGAGAGCGGAAGGAAAGGAAACTAGGCACGCAAGCGCTTGAAACGACGACAAAGACAGGGCAGTACGGGCGTAGGGCTTTTGGCCACGTACACGAAAATTCCTAAATTACCCAAGCTTCGAGAAAAATACAGGGAATGGTGTTCCACGCGCCGCACGCGCAAGCCTTCCCTGTATAAACGATTCGAAGTAAATAACCAAAGTAAAGCGTTTGCGCATGCGCGTGCGAAATTCCACTCGTTTTAGGCTTTTGCTACTGCAAAAGCGTAACGCCCCCCCCCCCCCCCCCCCCCCAAAAAAAAAAGACAAAACATGAATACACGCATGGTTTACAATTTATTAAGCCGGATCGTCTTGCAATGCACCGGTAACCACCAATTTACAATTTCTTTTCGGTTCGGGGACTCAATATCACGTTCCCTTTCGTTAACGGTTTTGTTACGGTTCGGTCAAAAAGGACGGTTTTGCTCCGGTTTTCAGTTCGGGTTCTGTTCGACATCCTGGTTTGAACGGTGGAGCGGCTCTCTCCAAAGCGTCGATGTCAAATTTAATAAACACGTATTTAATTTCTTGTTTTCAAAATGCTCTCCCCACTGGAAAGTTTTGACAAGCTAAACAGTCAAGTTCTTTTTTTTTTTAGCTTGACAGTTTTTGGGCAGTTTAGACGTTCCATTTACGGAGGGTTAGGAGTGTTATTTGAATATGCAGGGCCGAAACGCTGACATCGTTAAACTTATGCTGAATAGTTGTTTTTGTTGCGATTTTATGACAAGGCGTGTCATTTTTAGGAGCGTAGAAAACGAACATTTCAGAAAATAGATTATGAGCTTTGTAATGTCATATCTTTAGTAAACGTTGATTAAACGTATAAGCAGTCCAAGATTCTTTTACAATCCTTTCATTTACATCTATGGCAAAATATAACCTATTCTTTAAAATTCCTCTGAAGTTTTAGAGTAAGTTTTTAAATACATTAGACACCATTTGAATGATTATCGATCTAACAAAGCTATAAATAAACTAAGAATATAGTCAGAGTAACCACCAATAGACGTCGACAAGGTAAATAGCACTGATATCGGGTAATAACTAAGGAAATAGTTGTATGATCGTTTCGCTTTTGAACACCCAGTAATTTTTTTTCTCCAAGTGGCCTTTTATACCTCTTTTTGAGCTGATTTGCACAGCATGTTTTGTGCAGTCTGTCATCTATGCTGAACAAAAAGCCCATTAAACCATTAAGGTAAACTCTTGACGTGGGAATCTTCCCGTAAGTCAGTGGTTCTTAAATGGGGGTTTGCGAAGGCATTCTAGGGGTCCCCGAAGTCATTCTAGGGTTCCGCGAAGCCCTGCCCCATCAGTCAAGCCCGGCAATGAAAGTTGCCTGTATTCAGGATTAGAAGGAACGTTTCAGTTTTCTGGCGAGATTTCTCGTGTGTCTGTCAATGAGAGAAGTCTATTGCACTCTAGCCCTTAGTTATATCAATTTATTAAATAATTATTATATGTAACCTTTACCTTCTCTCTCATCTCGCCACGAACTGGGTCCTCCACTATTTCCACCGATCCAGAAGGGGTCCGCGAAACATCGATGGTTGAGAACCACCGCCCTAAGTTATTAAATATTTTAAAAATTACTGGCTAAAAAGAAACTTTTTGATTGAAGTAATATACCGTAAAGGGCTTAATTTTCGCGAGGACCTAATTTTCTCAAATTTTGCGAATTGCCCACAATTGTCGAGAAATAGGTCTTGCAAAAAAATTCCGATGAAATGTAAACACATTGGAATCTATATTGAGATCCCACCGCGTCTCAAAAATTAGAACCCGCGAATAATTCCAAAACTTCAGCTTTGTCCTAAATCGTGAAATATTGAGCCCACAAAAAATAAGTCATTTAAAGTACCTAGCTGTCACTTCGTAATATTTTTACAGAAAGACAATTTCCGATGAGTCTGAAGCATCAGTGATCAGGAGTTAAATTTCAAAGCCTCATATCTTGAGGTTTTCATCAAAGTGACTATAATTATCGCTCTTTGTTACAGGTAAATAACTTCGTGGCAGCATTCCACGAGGCGGTCATCCTCTACTCCATCGCCCTGAACGAAACGCTGAGTGAGGGTGGCAGCATCGTCAACGGCTCCGAAATTACTCGGAGAATGTGGAACCGGACATTCACGGGTAAGCCTGTTTACGATTGCCTCCAAATTGGTTCGCTGAGCTCGTCTTCTCGCCGAGTGTGCTCCCGCCATAACGGCAACTGAAAGGGCTTCCATCAAGTGTTCGCCAAACGACACATGTGCTTCCCAAATGTGGTAGAAAGCTTAAATTAGCAGAAGAGCTTTCACTGTTATTTATACCTTATGCCTCTACAACGCGCCGCGGTATCAAGCACGAGTGCGCACATACACTATCCAATGTGCACTACAACGATTTTGCACACATAGGAAGTTCGGGCAATCTTCATCAAGTAACCGAAATTAATTAAGTATAGGGTCAAAACTTCATCTATATTGTTTTCCCTAGGAGTCTAAATCTCAAAGTTTTGCGTACTGTTTCGCAACCGCTCACACGCCATGCCTTGGCTGAATATCCGCTATAAGGTTGCCCAAACACGCGCAAAACTTCACGCGCTTCGTGGGCATAGCAGGTCCGTGGCCGGATCCGCTCTTATGAACCCCGCTCGATCCTTTTCCATGGCCGTTTAACAGCGAAGCTGTATATGACTCGCAGTTCGGATTTTTTCGTGTCCTTCGATACGCGCACGCCTTATAACCGTTCGCTGCCCAACCACCGTCACGGCGTCCATTGGAGCCTTAAGTTTTCTCCATAATATGTTGTGGACTCTGCGTTTTTCTACGAAAGCTGCTTCTAATGTGAGCCACCGGATATTAGCCGAAACCACTGAGAGCGACTGAAAACACTATATCCGACCGTCGAGTCTGCCGTCCACCTTTCGCGCCTCTGTTTGAAAAGAGGGGAAATTCTGGCCAGTGTTACGGAATAGGCACATCCATTCCAACAAATTCCATTCCGTTGAATTAGAGTTTTAACAATTCTATTTTTGTTAACTACTGGGAATGAAGGCAATGAGGCAATTCCCACTCCTGGCATGGTTGAACCCTACCATTCCATATTCCTCTAATTCCTAAACGAAAAAAGTGGCGATTGACAGCCACATCTATTACTGGAAAAAAGCAGCATACGGGGCTGACGCTACACAACGCAGAGACGACTGCGTTTATAAAAGCTTCCCCACAGCACCCATTCTACTTAGCCGAAGGGTGGTTGAACAAGGCGCTTTGTGCCTCTTGGAGTCACTGCTGACATCAAACGCGCTTCAGCGTAAGAGGCTTGCTAGTCGCAACAGACGCCAACAATTACAAGCACCCATTTTCTTAGCAAACGAACCACATATTCACTACAGATGCATGGTTAGCGTGTTCTTTGTCTTATAAGACCTTAAATGTGTCTAGTTCGTGCGTGGCGCAAGGAGTTATCTTGTTTTCTGCTTCGAATACTTCTACAAGAGCACCGCTACTGCACTGTTAGAAGCGACGCCGCATATTCCTGCCCCAAGACACCATGCACTGCGGAAAGAACGGGAAACCGCTGACAAGGTGCAATGAGAATGCGGCCCCAGCACAAGGGACTGAAGCACCGGATTATGAAACCTGCCTTAAAATGTGAACTTTTACCTTTCCTCTGCGATTCTTGAGATTTCTTAACATATTGCCGCGCGCTTACGTAGGCAAGTCGGCAGCGCATTTGGTTTACGGGCAGGTGGCTCGTGTTTGATTCCCGGCACTGCGGGTCGTTTTATCTTTCTTTATATAAGCAAAAATTTGAGAAGGTAGAAGAACCGTCTAGTCTATTCGTGTTCGGAATGTACAGTTCCAGAAAGATCGCAGAATATTTTAGGCTCCCCGAGGACGCCTCAAAAGAAACTGCGCCGGGCCGTACAAGTCTGTCTCGCTCCAACGCTCGATCCTGCTATTACACCGCCATCGACACCTGCGACACTATCATTTCTCTATTTTGTTTTGGCCACAAGCTCGACCCATTACCCGCTTAGTTTCTTTCAGTTATTCGTCACCTCATCAATAATCATTCGTAACAATATTCAATTCAATTCTTTGTTTCTTTTCCACGCAAACACAAGAAGATATGTTTGGTTAAAAGCAGAGTCGAACCGGTCATTATTCCGGTCCGGTTCGTGTTCGGATTCAGTAGCTTTGCATTTTTCTCGGTTCGGTCCTGGTTCAGGGATGTTTTTAAAATAAGGTTTCGGTTACTGGTTCTACCAAGCGTGAACCAGTTCAAACTAGTTCTTAATAAAAAGAGTCAACAATTTCCGGTCGTGAAGAAGGAAAGGTAAGTTTAATATGGCATCATCTGCATTAAAAAAAAAAAAAGAAGAAATACATCATTAAAAGCCGTGCTGCGGGAACGAGGACAGGAAAACAAATATATGCTTAATCTTGCTCGTGAGCTCGCATTTTTAACGGAAACGCCGTTGTATGAATATTACGCTATTATACAGGCGCGTGGAAATAGTACAAAAGTCTAGTACTAACATGAAAAGGCCATTAGCCAGCATGCAGAGTGACACCGTGACGGTAGCACGCACCCCGTACTCGCAAACTACCAACAAAAAGAAGTTAGTAGTTAGTTGTTTAGATATCCGGAATTTAGACTGCCAGACAATCGTGACATTGCTACCCACTGTAGATGAGTAGCCAATGCTGTACTACGACTGCTAACCTGGGGTTTTTAACGGGTATCACGCAGCGCTGATACACGACAGCACGCAGGTATGATGCTCATCCAGATCGAAACTGCAAACTCCCCACACCGCCTACCCGAAGTATCTGCTCGAACGATTGAGTTGAAGATAAAGAAGAGTGATGTCCCTGTTGAAAGGTGATTAAAACGAAAAAAAGTACACAAAACAAAACGCGCAACTTGCTGTTTCTGAAAAACGCACACACAAGAAATTTTCTTGAAGAAGCGCTCAGGGCTTTAGTTCTGGGCGCCTGGCGTCCCGGCGACCGGCGCCGCCCTTTTGCGCTCCTCACGGCTTCGTCTCTTGACGCATCCAGATTTCGCCGCCGCGGAACAAACGTGCCGATAGCCGCCAACTTTTGTTGTTATTTTGATGTTTGTCTTCAGTTTCTACTTGCAAAGAAATATTGCTTGGCAGCAAGAAAAAAATACAGACACATACACAAACACGCACATGAAGAATAGCCCTTTGGCCTCTCGGCCGTGGCCAGATATGTTCCGTTTACCTTACGATGTATTGTAATGGACGCTACGAGCTACACGAGCCAATCCATATATCGTAGCTTGCCTTGTGAATTCGCGTTCCCCGCATCGCTTAGCCCAACCGGAAGGACACGTAACACCTTCTAAGCTGTGGATTTGCTCTGTTGGCTCGTAGCGTTTTTTGCGGTCCATCGCAAGGTGAAATAAAGTACAGACATGTACGCCTCATCGTCGACTCGACGACGCCTATTCGTGCAGTACGTAAACCTGAAATATATATATTAGTTTCATTATTATTGAGCTGTCTCTATGTGTCGCTACCATTTGTTTAGTGAAACCTGTGCCGCCAATGCCACCGTCGCAAAAGATTTAACTAACTAAGCGACGCCACCCTCAAGAAGGCGCGGCTCACATTTTATTACGCTGATCCGTTTTAAATGAAGCGGTAACCGCCACATGAGATTGCGGTTCTCTTCCAATATCAGATCTTTGATTTCGGGAACAGTTTTGTTGCGGTTCAGTTAAAATGAACGGTTGTGTTCTGGTTTTCGGTTCCAGTTCGGTTCGGAAACCCTGGTTAAAAGCCACATTATAATTACACATGATTACAACATGCGCTTTTTCGCGTATCGGGGAGCCAGGAATGACACCTTGTCCATCTAGAACTATTCAATTTTGGTCGCTTCATTGAGGGCTTGCACTTTAATCCTCGAAGGAGCATAAGCCAGTCAGGCAATTAATTAATGCGTCAGCCATCTCCAGTGCAATGATATTGTTTCAAGAGCCACCTATCATGCGCTTGCGAATTACGCCATCAGCCCGTGGGCACTAGATTGAAATCAACAGATCTCACGTAAAAACCGCATCCATTCCCTTCCCACTCCATTCTGGGCAAAATACATCTAATTACATTCCTATCCCACTCCCCCTAGCGCTGTCACCATTCAATTCCCAGTCCATTCCGGGGTCGTGAAAATGGGGAATGATTCCGGAATAATTCACACTCCAGAATGGCAACTCCGCTACACTGATTTAGACATCACGTACACTTTTGATGGATGTGTAAAACGCACATCGGCCCGATAAAGGTACCTTTTTTCCCCCTAAAATGCTGACTGGGGAGTGTGATAGGAAATTTCTTCCTATCGCACAACTCAAGAATTTAGTTATATTTATGAGCCTGTGTCACATTTGTCCTTATTATAATTTCTTTTTCGCACAAGCGCGTGTTACATAACTTTGGTTCTGTACTGTTATCGTACAAAATAAGAAAGTGGTTGTTCTCTGCCGTTCTAAATAAAATTTGTTTGCTCTCACTGTAAAACAAGCGCCGTTAGAAATGACGGAAAACATACGAGTGCGCTGTTGAAACCTCACAGTGTTAATTAAAAAGGAAAATAATAATAAAAAGGAAAATAAAAGTTGGATGGTACACACACATGTTTGTATCGCCCACATCCTCCTTTCTTTGAAACACAGAATGTGTTAGTTATGTGACTGGCACCAAACCATAACCGGTTAGGTGCCAGTAACAGATGTCGACAGGCCAACTGCCAGTTGAACGCTGACGCCGCGCTCATGTCGTCACTGATTTGAAAACCAGTACCAGCCGGCCCTCTTCCTCGAGTGCCTGAGTTCAGTTGAGAACTCGCCTTTGTTTAATGCCTTGCATGGTTGCTCTTGCCTTAAGAGGCCCCTGAAAAGAAGAAAAAAATTTTTTCTTACCAGAGTGGTTGGGACACGCATAATAAAACAAATAATTTTACGCGAAAATTTTTTTTTGTTTAGAGCAAGACTGACAGCAGGAGACGCGGTTTAGTCTGTAGTTACCTCCTTTCAGTCGTTTTCTCTCTCGGCATTTCGGGCGCGTCGAAGAGAGGTAGATCGGCTTCGCCTTCACGTTGAGGTGTAAA